AGCCTGACAGCTTGGAGAGCAGCATCTGGCTGGTAAGTCTGTGGGAGGAAAGGGGCATGTGGGAAGGAAAGAGTGAGGGGGGGCAGATCGAGGCCCCAGTGGTGAGGCAAGGAATGGGGCTGAGGCAGGGCCAGCTTCTGCCTAGTGGGGCAGGGCACAGGACAGAGCTGTGGGAAGCCCATCCGGGGGTGCACAGAGATTGGAGGGGGGTGGCTCCCCACCACAGTGCACAACCCCGGGGGAGATCTGTGCAGGAGGTGAGGGTGGGTTCAGGGCCAGGAGCTGCGCTGGCCTCTTTCCAGCAGAAGGGCTGGGCTGGGCTGGGGCTGTGCTCGGGTTAAGTGGGGGCAGGATGGATGGTGGCGGTGCTGGGAAGTGGATCTATGGGGAATTTTGGGGTGGCTATAGCACGTCCTGTAGCTCCCCCTCCTAGAGCTTCCTGCCCCAACCCCGCCCACCCTGAGTGCAGCTCCAGCCCACCCCACTACTGGGAAGAGGCCAGTGCAGCCCCTGACCCTGAGCCCAGCATGGGTAGCCTGCCTTCACACTTGACACATAACCAGGGGGAACATGCCCCCATGCCTCCCCCAGGGGTGCATGCTGCACTGGGGAGCCTCCCACCCTTCTCACCCTCCCTCCACACCTCCTGAATGAGCTGCCTGTGGCTCCATCCTGCATGCTGTCCCACCCCAGCTGGGCAGCACCTGCCCCTGGCCAAACCCCACTCCCTTCCTCACTGCGGGGGCCTCAATCTGCTCCCCCCACACACCCCTTCACCCCCACAGATTTACCGGCTCGACACTGCTCTCCAAGCTGCCTGGCTGCATTCCTGTCCACATGAATGCTGTGGCTGCACGCATGCACATGGCATTTATCAGTGATATTATCAGCTGCACCCACCAAAAAAAGCCAATTCCAATAATGTCAATTTTCCTTTTATCAGTGCCTATCCAATATGGACCGATATACTGGTACACCTCACAGGTAATAATTATGGTATACTGATGAACTCCTGAAGGTTCCTCAATTATTATACTGCTGCTGTTCTATAGACAAATTAAGAAACCTTGCTAATAACAATAAAAAAAAAAAAAATTAAGCCAAGGAACTGGAAGTATATTA